AAACCATGTCTGGAACCTAAACCTTTGACCTTATACCCACAGGTAAGTGTCTTCCTCAACCCCTCAACCCTCATTTAAGAAATGTCTCTTCCCAACAGAACCACAACCAATCAAAACACAGAGCTGTGGAACCCAGTGCCAGTGGATGCATGTACAAAGTACTCCCCTGCCCAAGGCTCAGGAAACACTGCCGAAGAGGGGTGGGAAGATTTCGAGCCAGAGGACCAGGGAGTTTGTCCTGAGATTGTGTCCCCTAGCAACGTCAGAAGCACGACATCATAGTCTCACAGACATGATTGCCCAAAGATGACCTGAGCAAGGACAACAATTAACATGCCAAAGAGGGACAGAGAAAAGTCCATGAGGACTCATCCCTACACAGAGAACTACAGGCCCCTGAGGAATGCTAAGACAGGAGAAATAGTGTTCCCCAGGGAAATGTACACCAGCTGGTTATCAAATACCAAATGGCCAGTCCTGAAACATACATACAAGCAACATTATATAGGCTAAGCAGGTTATATTTGGAAATGTGTATGTATATATATATTCACATGTAATAATTTATGAAAAAAGAGGCACAGCTCCCTCACCTTAGTCAAGAAATCAGAGCACAGTATTAAGCAAGCAGAAACGCTCCCAGGGCTCCCAGGCAAAGCTGTTGGCAAACTATAACCACCAGAGTGACTCCTAGATTTCCAGAGGCTGGGCCAACATGACTAAGCATGCTCTGTTGGTCAGCAATCTGGTCCCTACTGAGACAAGAGCTTAGAATCGTCTCCCAGGAGGGAACCTCACAACGGGCCTGGGAGGGACAAACACAGTAACTAGCAGCCTGGCCTCTGTGGAAATGTCAAGATCCCCAGGGAGATACTCCACCAGACCAGGATGGGGGCTCAGCAGTTTCCAAAGTCATTACTTGGATAACGTCACTAAATCAAGGTGACAGCAAATTTACTTGAAAAGGCAAATCCAGATGCTCCAAACTCCTCTGGACTTTTCTAAGTTAGACAAAGACATCAGTAATGGAGAGGAGAGTGTTGCTATGGTGACCATAGTGCCAGCCCCAGTGAGCACCCAACCCAGGTAGAACGCAGAAGCCTCAGGCCTCAGGCCTCTCGGGTAACAATGGACAGTGTTAAAATGGGCCAGATGTGCAGGTCCCCCAGAATGACTGTAACAGCTGGGTTCTTCTGAGGAACCTGGCATCACATCAGGGCTGCCCCACAGCTAGAAGGAGTGGAGTGGAGTGTGGGGAGGTCTGTCCAGGGGACATCCAAAACGTAACCGGGACAGCTGTTAGGAGTGCTGTCGATCTCCATCACAGTTCCCACCTGAGCTCGCAGACTCTCCTCCAAACACTTGGGATCCTGTGGAAACTGAAGGGGGCCTCGGGAAGATGTGTGGCTCATTAAGGCCAGAAGTGGCCCTACTGAGCACTGGGACCCTTCTGCAGAGCTGAATTTTCTATTCATGCCACATGGATCATCTCACTTAGCACGCAGTATGCTTTCAAATGGAAGGGCAATGACCCCCCACCCACCCACCCACCCACCCACACATAGAGGCTGTACAATCCGGTGAGACCATCATGGATCCTGCACTGCCCTGCACCTGAACATCCACAGGTGTGGCTCAGCACCTTGCCAAGGTGCCCAGGAAGCACTCATGGTGGGGCCCATTCTTACCTCCCTACCAGCTCTGTAGTTTCCTGGGACTGGGAAGAAGGGAGGCAGGAGCCAGCCCACACTCCTGAGGCCGGCTCTTCATTGTGCTTTGCATATGTGGTCTCTTCTAATGCACCCCAGCAGCCCCAGCCGCCTCCTCCCATCCTCTTCCTCTTCCTAAAGCACAGATGGCCCCAGGCTGGTCCTACCGACAGGACCCCTCCCAACCTAATACTCACCTTTCCCATCCTCTCCTCCCCTTTGCTCCTGTACCAGAGGCCCAGGGTGGTCCTATGGTGACCTTCTCCTCCCCTCCCTCTCCCCTCATCCAAACCCCAAGGGAAGAGTTGGGTAGGAAATGCAGGCCACCCCGTATCAAAGGCAGAGAGCAGCAATGCTCTGTCATGGCCACAGCGACAGAGATGTGACCATCTGCTGTTATGGACTGAATGGGTCCCTCCGAATTCATGATGACGCCCAGCCACCCCCCACTCTACACCTGTCATGGCTGTTACGGATATAATGAGGTTTAAATGAAGTCCCAAGGGTAAACTCCTAATCTATAAGGACCTACCAAGAGAGATATTCCTGTGTCACACAGAACAACTATGGACATCGGGGGGAAAAAAAAAAGAAAATAATAAAAATAAATCAAAGGCAACCATCTAGAGCCAGTGACGGAGGCTCTGACCAAAATCAAACACTGAGCCAGGCGGTGGTGGCACACTCCTTTAATCCCAGCACTCAGGAGGCAGAGGCAGGTGGGTCTCTGTGAGTT